CCTACCGACAAAACCAATCAACCGGAGAATCCCAACATAAGCTCAACACATCTCGAGATTTTTTTATTTTTTTACTGTAACCCCAAAGAGAAAACTAAAGACGAAAAGTCTCAGCCTTTTTCTCAATGCATATCTCTCTCTCTCTCACTTGAGATCTTTGGAGAGAGATCGAGACCAGCGGCAGATCAACAAATCGAGGAATTTTTTTTTTTTTTTTGATGATGTGGGTGATACGCGAGAAGAGAAGGGAAGGTAAAGAAAAATAGAAACAAAAAAAATAGATATGAAAATTTTAATTTTAAAACGACTTGACATTTAATAAAGGGAATCATCAAAGAGATAATCTTTAAAAAAAAAAAAAAAGTTAAAGATAATATTAAGGGAATCTCACATATTATCCGTTTAAATGTGAGATTAATGCAATCGTAATCTAGTCTACTGCCGAATATGCTATTCAATTACGCGAAGTTATGAAATATGTTACTACAATAGTAAAATACAGAAACACAATTACAACTTGACAATTAACCATCATAATATATGGGTTATTTTTGTTTTCGCTATAAAAAAATAGTGCACATTGTTCGAAACGTATTGGACATTTTTAAAAATTAAAGTTGTATTTATATTTTCTTTGAAGGAATGTATGCCAAATTTATAAATTATAGTATATAATATATCGTGAATCTGTAAGTTTTATAAATTCATTGTAAATTTATTAAATAGAAAGATACAAGCTGTTATAATAATAAATATTATATGTATCTTGTTTGAAAATAAATATAACGAAAAAGGTTTTCAGCTAGCATAAAAAAACAATAGAATTTTGAAAAATTTCAAAAATGTCACTTTTCAAGTGCCACTTTACAAAAATGTCACACTTTTGAAATTTTTACAAAAATACTACTTTTTTCAATATTTTTTTATATTATTTATGTTTGGGTTAATTATGTTCTATTAGGGTTTAGTTTTGAGTGTTTAGAGAGTTTTAGATGTCAAAACATTTTTAGGGTTTAGAATTTTAAAATATAAGCGTTATAAATCTATAATT